CAGGACCCTCCGCCGCTCCTCCTCGCGAATTTGGCCCATGGCTCTGGGGGTCAGTCTCGCTCCCCCCCCCCTGCCGGAGCTCCCGTACTTTCCGGTACACCCCGGCATGTAGCTCCGCGAGGAGCTCGATGGGGGGGACCCCCGCCAGGACCGTAGCCGCCGTATGGGACACGGTGCGATAGGCCCTCGCCAGCCGTAGGGCGACGCGCCTGCCTCATTCTCCGCTGAAGTCAATACTAATAAGTTCATACAACTCTACTGACCATCGCAATTGCACAATATCAACGAGAAGGTTGTTGTCAACGTAATAAATATATTGTTTCTCCACATTTATCACGAAAGTACCGTCGTTGTACTGCGTGGATAATATTCATTCACATGTGTATAAAGTCAAAGCACTCATGGGTCGCAAAATTGTTTAAAAACGTTCAATTTCATGCAATGAGTCTTATGGCGGCATATTGGCAGTCGTTGAAACGTCTTCGCAATGGCATCACCCCGATTTCGAAATCACTATCGTCATCATCATTATCCTTGTCGGGAAGTATTATTATGGGCACTTCATTAAACATGTCTAAAACATCGGGCAATTCTTCGCGCATAGGCGATTCTTCGCATACAGATTTTTCTTCGCGCACCGGCGATTCTTCGCGCACAAAATTATCGCCGGGGTGATGCCATTGCGAAGACGTTTCAATGATTGTCAATATGCCGCCACAAGACTCATGAAATTGAACGTTTAGAAAACAAAGATATGCGCGTACTAAACACTATAGATAAAATAAGAAAAAGACGGGAGAGAGAAATAGAGGGTATACGTATACAATAGAGAGAGCACGACGAAAAGAGAAGATGATAAATATATGAGAACATAGCGATGCCGCTTTTTTTCTAGGAGAAGCCGCGAAAGATGACTTTTCCTAGAAATTGACGTACGTATCGACGTATTAAGAGAGAAGCGCCGATAATCCGACTGCTATGAATAAATTGCAAAGATAATAAAAGTTATAAACAAATAGATAAATAGGTAAACAAATTGCGATTCGGTTGCAAACGTATGACGACACTCTGATTTTTAGACAAAGGGACAAAGAAATTGTCGATGATATATAATAGGTCATTGGACGCGTGGGATCACAGTAGGTGGAATGAATGTGAGAGAAAGCCGATATGATACAAAAAAAAAACGTGAAGTGTCTTATGTATTGATTAACACTTATAACGGTGCTCTCCTGTCTGCTAATTTGTGGAAAGTATTGATAAGACAAGATCAGTTGAGTATGAGTATATTAGAAGAATGAAATATATAATGAAATATATATATATGCATGATGACTCATAATTTTGAATCTTTTTTTTTATATAGTGAGGATACTGCTAAAGAGAGACAAGAAATGAGCTTTTCATTGAGAGAAATCGTGACATGCAGTCATTGTAAACACTATGGTGCTGAATTAATAAATGACGAGATGTGCAGTTATCGACCAATCGAAGAATTAACGAATTCTCCGTTACGGAACGTAACGGTCTATCCATCGCTGAACGTAACGGATTATTTTTTAAGAAAATATTACACCCCGAATCCCCACAATTTTGTGAAGAAACGCAATCCCCGATTCCCCCACTTCTCGATTCCTCCCAAACAATTTCTGGAAGATATGCATATACCATCATTACAGAGGAAGTGCGTATAACATATCATTGTCAATAGGCAAAAAACAATGGACAATGGATCGCTGACTCTATGATAGAAATTTGTAAAGAAACTGACGAGGATGTTATAGTGGCCAAGAAAAAGGCAAAAAATCGGAGGTGTTTAATAACATAGAGCATTTCGCTATGACAGCTATGACTGTTATATCGGCCATGTTCAGATAAAAGAACAAAGAAGAAGCGCGTTATACGAATTATTAGATAATCAGTATTAAAAATGTAAAGTGTCATGTAAAAAAAATATAAATAAAAAAAAATTTTCACTTTTTAAATCGTGATGCAATTTCTTTGTCATGTGCATGACCGATACACTAACCTACATTCCTGTCCGACGCGTGATAAGTCATCCCGACAAAATAAATTTCTCGCGACGTTATATGATAAGAAGCGATACGTCGATCGTTAGAATATTATCAGCGCAATGGAAAGGAATAAAAAAAAACACACAATTTGTATATCATATTTATTTATTTATTTATTTTATTAATGGTTATCTGATCACCAATTAAACAATTTAAATACATTTTGTAAAGCGCAATTAGTATAGCGATATTCGCATCGCATAGTATTATCAGCGTCCAGATTGCTGAGAGAATTTACGTCTTCGTAATCAGCATCCAGAGTCTTGATGTACACGCGTTCTTGCTCAGCGTCCAGAAGCAAGTTTCACAGCCATTGTCGTTTTTCATGTTCCTTGACATATACGATAGCATCGTCGTCGTCGTTGTCATCGTCATCGTCGTCATCTTTCGTTCCGTGTACAGCCTTTGTAATCAAACTCCTAGCTTCGCTGTACGGAATCGTTCCGTCGTTCCATTACAGTCTATGGTGATGACGTATCACCCAGCGTAGACTTGTCGGCACTTGCGAGGAAGTGCCATGTATAGGGCTTGCGAAAATGTAGAGAGAGAACGGTCCATTCTCTGAGAGCAGCAAACTCTTTTACAACAAACTGTTCTCCAACAACCAGAAAACCTTACAGCCCTACGAACGTTGGCACGACCATGACAAGCATTTTTTTCGAGACTGCGGTCGATTTCGGTATCGTAGATTTTATTGTCTCTCTGTCATATGCTAGCGATGCTCTTAGGTGATTTTGCGTACAACATTGGTCAACGGGTTATACTGAATCACGCGATCGTGTATAATGAAACAGTACGCAGTGGTATTCATCAATACGTTCTCCTTAGTCTCAAATTCCAATCTCACGTCCACGGTTGCGCTCTTGACCGATTCGTTTTGTCGAGAATAATCGATGATTACGAATGGACCGTTATGTAGAAATGACGGTGAGACTCGGCTCGTATCCGTAGTAACCCTTGCAGAAACGCGCGTACGTTTCATACGGACCATCTGTTTTTGTCGAAATCCAGATTCATATCGTCGTACGGATAACATTCTGAGTTCAGATAAAATTTCACGTTGGTCAAGTTGCAGTCGTCGAATCTACTTGTGTCCTTGGTCATGACGTTCTTTTCGGCCTGTTTGCAGAGCGAAGATGATGTATCGCGGCTTCTCGAGCTGAGTAGCGGTCTTGATGGGCCACAAATGCTTGGTTGTATGCTGCAACAGCGGAAACTCGTACAGATCCCACGACCAAAAAGCCATGCTCAAATATCGTCCGCTCTCCAAAGTGTGCAGCATCGATAGTTTTTTTATCTCAATAATACGTGCGGCATTCACCATTGTATCTTGAATAAATCGATCACAGGATCCAACGCCGAATTTCCCATCAGACAATTGTTATCGTTACGCGATCGTATCAAGATCAACTTGTGACGAGCGTTGATTACCACGCGTCTGTAATTCTCGCAAAATCCCAACAGTGAATAGAGAGATACACAAAAATTAAAATATCCATCTGCGCTAATACGCGCATCCCAGCCGGCATTCCTCAGAATCACGCTTCTGTTGGATGATGTCGTTACATAGTGTTCGAACGTGCTAGTTATGCCCACGTTTCTATTACGATTAATCTCCATACCATCGAGCTCGTAACATACCATCGAATCTCATCGAACATGAACGTGACAACATTATTTCTCAACATCACATCAGATCCTTCGACAA